GCTGAATGATAATCTATATATTTCTTTAATTTGTTAAAAGCTAATTGATAAGCTTCTTGAAACATTGTAATAAACACTGATGTATCAATATTTCTTCCAAAAATTTAGTATTCATCTCATTACTAAAAGGAGGTTGAATAATACCAGATTATAATGCAGATTCAAGATGTACCAAGCAGTGAGCCACAAAAGGAGCAATAGTTTTATTTCTAATTTTAAAGAATTCAAGATCATCTACAATACTATGTAAATAAATATAAATTAGATTTGCATTTTTATATAAATAAATAATACCAATTATACAATTATAACTTACCGCTTTGCATTAAATGAAATAAACATAACCATAATTTCAAATATAAAAACATATACTGAATTTTTAAAAATTGTCAGATAGTTTCACTTTCATTACTAATAATTTCTTCTTCAATATAGAATTTACAAAATTGTGGTATATATTGTTTTATCTAAAAAACAAAATTAAACCATGAATTCCAACGGGTTTTTACAGGTAAAGGTGGTAATGTGATTGAATTTTGATTAAAAGAAACTGTGGTAGAAGAAAAAAAGGAATTTAAAAAAGCAGACTATCTTCTTTTATGTGCAGGACAATAAATAAAAGATTTTTTATGTTTGCTACAATATTAACTAGAAATTTGAAACTCTTATAACTAATCCATGTTTCTTCAACCAAATTTAAAATATGAGCTAAACAACGGTTATGTTTTAATTGGGGAATTAAAGGGGATAATATTTGAAAGGCTTTTAACATATATGCTGCATTATCAGAAATAAAAAAAATAAGATTGTCATGAGAAATGTTATAAAATTGTAAGGTTCTTATAACCAATTGAGCAATAGTAGTATTATTGACATTATCCAAATGTTCTGTCTTGACTAATTTAGTTTGGTTGCCAAAACTAAATAATACATTGACAGCTGCCCAGCCACAAACATCTGTAGTTTCATCAATTGTAATAGATATACGTTTATTATATACTATTTCTTGTATGCTAGAAACCTCCATATTAAAAACAATTGGCAAATATTTTTCTCGTAATAAAGAAGAGCCTGCAATAGCTCCACCTATAATATTATTAATTGATTTAATAACATTTTAAATAATAAATTAAAAATAAAATAAATTTTACATACCATTTCTACAAAATTCCAGAAAAAAGTCTTGAAGTTTGTCTACTTTTTCAAGTGGTATGTCTGCTTGTGTAAATGCTTTTACTAAAGCGGTATTAATAACTTCACGTTCATTTAGCCCATTATTATTAATATTAAGGGTAGTTTGACGAAGTCTTATTTTATTTTCAGCTTTGTGTACATTTTTTCTATGTTTGTCTGACTTTAAATGTAAATCTAATGTGGATTTTTTTTATGGTCTAAAACACTTTGGCAAAATTCACAAAACAGTTTTTGACCATCAACATAAAAATTTTTTTTATATTCTGAACTTTCGAGTCTACGCTCAGTTGCTGAAATCATAGTAAAAAAAAGATAAATGATCAGAAACGATCGATCGATCATCTCAAATCATGATCTTAATCTTAATCTTAACTGCAGATATGCTATTGATAAGCGAAAAATGTGAAATTTAATAAAATCTGCGACAGCATATGCTAATGCGAAAAATCTTAATTTCTGCGTATATTATGCCGCCGCAGAAAATGGGCCACCCTAATATGATTTTACTATATTTAATCACATTATTACGCGTTCCCAAAAATTTTTTTTTCTTGCGACAAGAACTCATATTGACAAGACCAAAAATAATAATAATGTTTTAGTGTTGACCCTTAACTTATTAACGTTTAATATGATTTACTTTATTAGATACAACAGCAGAACAGCGGCGAAATGGAAAAAGGGCAATGTCGGTATAATATTTTATTTGTTTTTGTTATTTTTATTATATTATTCTTTTCTTCTACATAGTATAGACAAAATGACGGACGAACGTAATAGCAGCTAGAGCTCGACTTAGAGGTTTGGCCAACTTTGTTAGGATAGCCAACTTTTGTTGTGTGAACCAACTCTGTTGGGCTTCAAGTATGGCCTGACAGAAGGGGGTTGGCAGTAACCTATTGAGATGTGGTTTTTTTTCGGTAAGGGTCTGCATTTTCATATGAGAAAATTTCTATGTATCTTCCTTTACGTGTCAGGAAAACCATTTCCAGGCCTGGGCTTCTCGCTTCCTGAAGGGTTTTGGAGTTTACCTAACCATAGCAATGCTCTGGCTGCAGTGGATGGGAAGTTATTTTTTAATCAATGTAAGTTATTTTTTATATTTATGTTCTTTGGTCTTGTCATATGAGTTGTATGGTCATCTTATAACAATTACAATCATGATTAATGTATTAAACAAAAATGTATATAGTTTTCAAAAATGTTTATAATATAAATAAAAGTTTTTATTAAAAAAAAAAATTAATGACGAATGTCAATTATTAAATTATTAAATATGACATAATAAAACGATATTTATATAATAAACCACCATAAATTTTATTTCTGGCTTTTCCAACGCATTTTTATTTTTTGATTAAAAATTTAATTTAATTTTTCTAAAATTTGAAATACTAAATATATTATAGTTGATATAGTTTAATATAATATATACTGTTTAAATATTTTATAACATAAGCCTTAAAGGCTTGTCAAAATTAAGCTAGTATGCGTGATCAGTCTTTTTTTTTTATCGTGAAAAAAAACACCGGTTTTAAAAAAAAGAGTTTTAATGTATAAAGAGATATATTTTTTATTATTGAGGTTAGGTAAACATCCAAAAGCTTAACAATAGTGATATGATAGATATTTATCCGCCGCCCGACTGCCTTTCTTGTTCATGCCTTCTAGATTGCTGAGCAACAGGGTTGTTGTTAAATCCAGTGTACGTAAACGCAGCCTGTAAACTACTTTGATGAGTAGCCATTGTGACACAAGAAGGTGCCATTATAGATTTAGATAATTTATGTTTCCAGATAGTTTGTCCATTATGAATATTAATTTTATATAATCGTTTTCCACATCCAACCAGAACTGCATCAGGAGTTGATGAATCTAACATAAGACAAGGCATTTCATAACCGCCACCCTTCAACTCGTTTCTCCAAAGTGTCCCTCCTAATTCAGGGTCTATTCCACATACTTTTCCGAAAGAACCAACTAAAACAATAGAACTTTGAGGTTCATATGATGATGTTTTTGAATTTGAATTAGTGCTGGTAACAAGTACCGAAACTTCACTCCACCACATTTTTGATAGCGGGTTATTCCAAATCACTGCTCCATCAGCCAAGTTCAAGGCGACTAAATGGCCATTCATCCCGACATAGACTTTATTATCAAAGACGAATAATGCTCCAACACCGTATCCTACACCAGAGAGCTTAGAATTCCACACTCGTGTGCCATCTGTTTTGTTGAGAGCAAATACTTCTCCCACTGTAGAACATACAAGTAAATTTTCTGGTGATGTCATAAGAAGTAACAAAGGATTGAAGAATTAAATTTTACAACTAGCAAGTATTTATAGTGTTATTATAACTTTTCTCACACGACCCTGTTAGGTTAAGATGATCTACTCCAAGACAGACCTAGAACAAATTTGAAGAATAAATTTCTCATTTTATAAATAGGATGTAATCATTACATATTATGTACATATGATCGACAGTTTTTGACAGTTAAATTAAAATTTGGGTTTCCAATTTTAGAAAATTGTACACCTTTTTTATTAAATGTACTAATAAATAAATATAAATAAATAAATAACTACGAAATGGGAGCGTGCCTTGTAATTTTATAGAAAATATTTCGGCTCTCAGGAGGTGTAGAAGCTTCGCTGTTCGGATGTCGTTCTAGAAAGCGATCAATTCGGCCGAAGTTTATACGCTGTTTTTGATGATTCTGATTCCTTTGTCACAAGTAAAATCTCGTCTCTGGACTTTGTTAAAAAATCTTCATCGTCTTTCTCTGCTTTAAAATGAAGATGGACAAAAATTGGCATTAACATATAATATTGCTGGACTTAAAGCCATTTACAAAAACTTGCTTACAGGTTAAAATCACTTCTTAAAATTGAAAAGGAAGCTCAGGATTATATTCTTAATATTTTTTTTTTTCTGAAAGAAAAAAATGTAAGAGTAAGTAAGAAATATTAAAATAGAATAAGAGTAGAAATGTATAAAGTAGAATAAAAATAGAAAGAATAAAAGTATAATGAAAGTAGTAGAAATACATAGAAATAGAATACATAGAATGCATAAAGGTAAAAGTGGAAGTGAGTCGTGGTAGTATGGAAACTCAAGATTAAGGGCCTCCTTCAGAAACGGTAAAATTCATGGTCGAAACGTCTTCGTTAGTTCATACCACGATACGCTCAACGAAAAAAAAGGTCACATTATTTCTTCACTCGCTTGCTAACAACCAAAGAGAGAGAAAAACGTTTCTTTGAAATAAAAAAACAAACTCATTGTGATGTTATAAAATGTCTATGATATCCTGTAATGCAACAAAATTGGACCATACATAGACAGGTTGATGTAATTCTGATGAGACTGGAATGGTGGTGGGCTTTTAAAATAAAAAATATTTTCTACAATATTTAGATAATTTACGAATCTGAAATTTATAATTGTCATATAATCTCTTTATTTCTTGAGTTTGATCTTTTTTAAAATTCATACTCAAATTTCCTAATCTCTTTTTTTTCTTCGCGCTAACATATTACACGCCGATATCGATGAATTCATGCTATCCTAGGTTCTTTATTTTATCCGACTTTGTCATCCGCAAAAACACAATCGTTTCCGCATATCAAAGTCGCCTCTTTAAATCTACCCGTAAAAAAATTCATGTTCTACAGGTCTTAGATCGGATCGGATCATATAATAATGCATGCGAGATTCAATCTCCAGGGGTCGCTTTATTGATACAAAATATAAATACAATAAAATTACATGATTACATGATTACATGAAAAACATCATTTAAAATGCAAAATAAGAAAATTTACAAAAAGAAAAATTCAAACTTTCTAGTGAACAGTGATAAGATTAAACCGATTTTTCAAATTATTGTCAGAGTCAAGAACGACGTTCTCGGCCGTTTGTGACTGTGGCTTTCAATTTCGTCGATTCGTCTATCCTATTCACCATAAATCTCCAAGGATGAAAACCAGTGCAGGGACCTCAAGAACCGTAGCCGCGAAGAGCTTTCGCCATTTTACACCTAGTGACAGCGTAGGCAATCCCTCTTCCTTTCTATAGATGTCGTCGATCCTAGATCACAAAAAAATTAGATAATACTGTAAAAATGTAAGTACTTGCGTCATTATCGTCAAGAACCAAAAAGAACGTTCACAGTCGTTGTGAATGTAGCCACAAAGAACTTTCATTTCCCGACATTTTAAACTTAGTGGCAGAGTACTTCAGATACACAACGACTCGACAAATAACAGTGAAAGATACTCACCTATACATTACTCTTTCTCTTCTCAACATTGTAACAAGTTCCAATACAAAGCCCCGACTGCAGAAAAAAAAGTTGCAAGATAAAATCTTTCTCAATGATAAGATATATATTATTAAGAGAACGTGTTGAGAATACTTTTATGCTTATCACCGACAATCGTGTTTACTATTTTCGTCAAAGTTTATATTCGTTTGATCACTTTCTATTACTTTAGAGTCTAGCAGTTTGTGAAACAAAAGACCAGATATGGTTTGATTTTCGAGCTTTATCTAATTTAATTAAATAATAATCCTATTTTATTGTGATTAAATATTTTATATTATTAAAAAATGAATATATGGGACCTTTGCAATAGAAAGGGGGGAAACAGCCAGAAAAAATTAATTTTACTTTATATGCCAAATATGAATTTTATGCTGAAATATGTTCAAATTTAGCATTAACTCACTTTTGATTTTTCCGGCTGTTTCCCCCCTTTCTATTGCAAAGGCCCCATATATAATCAGATCATATTTAGATAAAATCTGATCCAATTATAATCTGAAAAATCAAAAAATTTGATTATTTACTTTTTTAATAATAGAAGTTATATAAACAAATATAACTATTATTTTTTAGTAATAATGTATTTTTGATATTCTAAAATAGTAACTATTAATTTTTAATAAAATACTTTTTAATATTCAAAATATTATATTTTATATTAAAAAATAATAAAACTTTTAATTTTAACAATAATTTGTCTTAGATATTCAAAATAAGTATTTTATTGTTAAAAAAACAATAAAATTTATTTTTAATAATAATCTTGTCACTAATGTTTAAAATTTGATTAAGAAATATTAGTAAATAATATTTGTAATTTTAAAAATAGTTTTACTAAGAAAACCTTAGTAAAACATGCTTTTACAAATTTTAAAGATGTTTTTTATAGAAAAATTTTATAAAAAATGCCTTTGTAACTTCAAAGTTATTTTTTACTAAGAAAACTAGTAAAAAATAGTTTTGTGACTTTAAGATAATTCTTATTAAGAAAATATTAGTAAAATTTTTATACATATAATACTGACAGAAAAAACTGATAATTTTATTTATAATCTCATAACTTCATGAGTTTTATATTTAGAAAAATGAATTTAATATCATTAGATTTATTTTGATAAAAAAATTCTAATAAGCTATAATTTATTTTCTTATAATCATTATAATAAAGAAATATTGTAAAATATCAAGTGATGTAAAAATAATAAAATACATTAGATTATTAATGTTTTGTCATATAATCCTATGAATGTTATACTTGGAGATATAAATTTATTACCTTTTAATTCATCTTAATAAGACAATTTCAACAAGTTAAGTATATTGACTTAAAATTGATTGTAACCTTATACGTTCTTTTAAAAAAGATGCTAAAGACACACTTCCTGATTCATTATGCATACAATATCTATGAATATTATTGCGTTTTTTAAACTTATATAGCCAACTATTAGAAAAAGTTAAATTTTTTTCTTGATTATATTTTATCTTTCTGTAAAATAATATAAAAAAAATAAAAAAGAAATAAGAGATTATTAATAAATATATGTATTTATTTTTTAAAATTCATTTTAAAATATATAAAATTAGTGATAGAAAATAAATATGACATGATAGATATTAAATTTAATAATTTAAAATATGTATTATAAAGTTTTAAATATTAAAATTTCATATAGTGATACCTGATGAAATAACCTTTCTTAATATAATAAAATTGATGAAACTGAAATGATAAAACTAGTTTTTTATTAATGACAAAACATTTTACTTAATTGCTAAAAATATATTTAACTTGATTTGAATTTCTTGAATTAAAAAATATAATAATTTTATATTTACTCATAAAAATATTAAAGAGACGAATCCTTTTAACAAAATTACAATTTTTTAAAAAAGAGTTTAAGCAAATATCACTAATTTCACATATTTTAAATAAAAATTATATGAAATATTTCCTATTTTTTAATTGTCAGTTTTTTTTTCTGATACTATAATTCACTTATTATTTTCTTTTTTACATTTTTTTTTTTAATAATATTTCAAAGATTTTAATTAGATTTAAGTTAGAATTATTTGAATATTAAGTTAATAACTTTAAATATATTATTTTAAAACAATTTTTTAATATATTTACTAATATATTTTAGATCAATATCTTACTAAAATTACCATTTGTCTTTTAATAAGTCTTTAATTTCTAGAAGTTATATTATTTACAGACATTATAGCTTAAATTGCTTAGTTATAATAAAATTTAAAAATAATAACCAAATTTTTATATTAATATTAAATATACAAAATTATATAACTAATAATCACCAAACTTTTATAATATAAATCATATGATATATACTTTATTATTATTTAAGCTATTATATTATAAAAAATACTTTGTAAAATTATATAATGATATTTATATTTTTTAACTGTATATTTAATTTGTTTAGTATTTATTACTTTTCTATATATATTTATATAATGATAAGATTTTTAGTATATGTTTAATAAAAATAAAATTAAATGTTTTAAGAATAATTTATTTAGAACCTTTTTATATATAATTATAATATTGTCATATATACTTTTTAGCTACATTATAATAAATTTCAATATAATTTAATTTATAATAAAACTTTAAATAAAAAATTATTATATAATTATGTGTTTCAAGTACTTCTAATAATCTTTATTTTTGATTTTTAAAATTATTTTAATTTTTAAAATATATCAGATATAACAATTAATTTTTATTAAATCAGAAATATAATAATAACCATAATATTTTTGCTTTTATAACTTATATTCTTGAATAAAATACATATCTTTAAGTAATTTACAAAGAGAAAAATTATAATAACTATTTAAAAAAAACTATATATTAAATTATTCATTAAAAATAATATTATGTATATAAGGTTATTTACTTTTAGAATTAACATTTATTGCTTTTATATTTAATACATATACAAAATGGTTAGCATTATTTCAAGAATCCCGTCTACCCATAAAAGCTTATTACAAGTTTACTTGAAAAGAAAAAAAAAGGGAGAAAGCAAAAGTCCAAGCCGATTCCTAAAAAAAAGGAATGTATATTACAAAAATACTATAAATTAAAGAATTATCAAATGTAAAACTATAATAGCATTTGGATTTATTACTTTTAAAATAGGTATTACTTTTTTTTAATCTTAAATAATTAATAATAAATTTTTGTTAATATATTTGTATTTATACTTACTTATTTAATCAATTGTTTAATATAATAACTATTTCAATTTTTATCATGATGAATAATTACACATATTTTATATGAAATATTTGAATCATTTTATTTATTTTGTAATCAAAAATATCTAATTATTTCACAAAAAAATTACTAGTATGAATTGATAAATACTGTAAGTTATTTATTATTTGAAGTTCATTTAAATTTATAATTATTATTAACATAAAATAAATATTATAATTTCCAAGTAAATTTACTTAATTATATTTAAAATACTTTTGATATAGATTAATTATTAATATAATATAAACAACAGTTATTTTATCAAAAAAAATTATATATATATATTATATAAATAATAAAAAAAAAAACAAAATGTTAATAATAATTTTTTTTATAAAAAAATAAAGATTAAAATATTAAAATTAAAATTGCTTATTTAAACTATTTGAATTTGTTAAAACAAATACTGTATGCTTAATTATTTTTATAAATTTTGTAACAATATGAAATTTAATTTTTAAATATTATAAAATTTATTATTTATACAATCTTACTAATAAACCAGATTATATTTTTAGATTATATAAAAATTTGACAAGTTTAAATGAATATAATTAAACATATAATTAAAAAATAGAATATTTTTGTAATATCAAAGGAAAATTTTAAATTTATTACCCATAAAGTAAAGTATTTGTGTTTCTATAAAGTTTTGAAGTATAATAATGATTCCATAACCACACTATCAGTTTATTTATCCAATACTTTAAAGAAAAGAAATGAATTTTCATTATTGATAAAATAGCAAAGTATAAACTTATAATCAATCACATAGCCTGAACGCAATTTATTATTGCACCTCTGAGTTTAATTATTTAAATTTTCAAAAAAAATATTATTTTTGATATTATAACTTTCTTTTAATTAGCAATATTTTCAATTTCAAATTTTTGATAAAAGAGTATAATATTTCGAAAGTAAGTTGTTTCTGTAATTGTGTATTACCATCTTCCGATATAATAATTGAAGCAAAAAATAAAGATGATGATGGATAATATGTAAAAGAAGTAATGTTTCAAGATGAAGAGGATGATCATGATTTTGATGATATAGCTGAAAGGCGGGAAACTTTTGTTGATTTTTACTTCTCGCTTTCTAATCTTTTCTTCCAAGTCATTAATAATTTCTAGTTTAGCTTTAACTTCTTCTTCTCGTTCACTAATCTTTTCTTCTAAAACATTGATCGTTTCTTGCTTGACTTTGTTTTCTTCTTCTCGTTCCCTAATATTTTCTTCAAAAACATTAATGGTTTCTTGCTGCCTTGCTTTGACACTTTCTTCTCTCTCTTTAAACTTTTCTTCTAAAGATTCGAATTGAGAACTTAACTTTGATAACTCTTTCGCTCGTTCATCTAGTTCAGCTAATATCTCAGGAAGTTTTCGTCCTGCTAATAATTTTCTTAAATTATCTAAATCCTCACCACCTATTTCATTCCATAAAAAGGAAAGTATCAATTGATTTTCTTCGTCAGCAATCATTTTACTTTGTTCTAATTCCTTAATTCTTTGCTCTTTGGTTTGTAATTCTCGAGAGAGATTCATTTCCAAGTCATTCAACGTGTTTTCTGGGTGGTTTTCTGAAACCATTTTGACAATATATTATTTAGAAAGTGTGATTTCGATTTTTCACGAGGGAGAAATTTCCAACTTCAGCCCTCAGAAATCATCCTTCTTTTGTTCTTAAATAGGCAAGTTCTGTAGTACAATTGAGTGATCAGGAGTTTTACAATGGCATAATCATAACGATAACAAATTTTGACTTTCAAATTGTCCGGAGATCCTTTTCCCAAATCAGTTTAGTAATAATCGAATATGTGGGAAAAAACATAGTTGCGGAAATTCCAAGTATCTCGATGTATTTTTAAAACATGTAATACGAAAATTCATTACATACCCTTTATTCCTTTAGATTCGTTTATTCATTCCGAAAAACAGAAACAATAAGCAAGATTATGAATTATTTTTTTTATTGGGGAGAATTTATTTTAATTTAAATAAATAATATAAACTTTTTTGTTCTTATAAGTGGCAAAAAAAAAATTTGTATATACTCTCTGAACGTGATAAACAATACTTGGATAAAAAACACTGGCATGATCTTGCGGTGAATTAATTATCCACCTTCAAATTTCTGTGTCATTTGAAGAAATTAAAGATTTTAATTGGATAAAGACTATTAAAAAAAATTCTTAAATTCCAAATTTTATCTAAGTACTCATTAGAAGATTCCTGCCCAGTATATTGTTCATGTTTAGCAAAAATAGTTGCTATTGTATTATATATCGGTTGACATCTAGCATCTGCCATTAATAAGCGGATTATTTTGTAGATTTAAAATAATTTGCCGGGAATTTATTTCCTTAGCCTTCCATTTTTGATATCGGTTAAATACCTGAATTCCATCAATAAAAAATGTATTTTTTGTAAATCTATATGAATAATAGAACTACTCAATATTTTTTAACACAATCTTTCCATCCTTTGAATACACCAATTCTAAAATCATCATAACAATTAACATTAACGTGATTTCCCATAAATTTACAGTATCCAACTCGGTCTGGTCTTGAATGTATACGAGAACCTGTGAGTTCGTCAAGTTATCCTACCTTTGTTTCAACATATTCTTAACAATGTTATTTTATTTACCTGGTACGTAATTAACTGTATGCGTAAACGTACTATTTCATGATTCTAATTATTTTTATTTCAAAAAAATATAAATGTAAATATATATAGGTTTATTTCATGCTTGTAAGATTGTCTATGAAGATAATTTCAAAGAAAATGCCCCCACTCCAAACGTTTAAGTTCCTATTGTATAATTAACTGTAGCTAACACAAAAAAATATGGTATGATAAATAAAGTGATTTTATTTAAGGTTATAAATTTGTATTTGCACAATGAACTAGAACTTTCGTAGATGGAAATCTTTTGATTCGGGATTGTCCTGACTGGAATCATTTCTCCTATTGAACTTTAAAAGATAAGCTAAAAGAGGTATAAACATGCGGCCGATCATTGTTGGGATCTTCCATAAGTTTCGCAAAAAACAGTAATTTCATATTGGAAATTTTTAAAAAAACAAATAGAAGAGGTATTATATTTTCACAACCAGTCAACAAAGGATAACATATGATCCGTAAGGCATAGCGGAGGATTCAGAGGTGAATCCTTTTATATTGTGGTGTTCGATTTCAACTACTAAAAAGAGATATTCAATGTTATTCAAAAACCAATTTATCGATGTACAGTATTTTTTTTGCTCAATTAGTGTTGTTTGCCGAAAATTCAAGAAAATTTTAATTTTAATGTATTTTTAAATTATAATTCAATTCATGAGATATAGTAAATCATAAGATCTGTGATTTTACTGGAAATGCTTCCATATGTTTTTTACTGCTAAAATTATAAGAAATTCTTATAGCACTCTTGCTACTTTATATTCATATTCTTCTCCCTTATTTTTATTTCTGATATTTATAATTAAATAAACTATTATTTATTTTTTTTGATAAGGTATCGGAACTGATAAAGGGAAGTAATCCAATATTAGGTCTCTAATACTAAATATATCTTATACATGTCTATTAAAGGTCTATTTTTTGCACTAAATCTACCAAGATCAACTCACCAGTTAAATAACCCTAATCCTAATCCTTACTAACCCTTATACTATGTTGAGGGAATGTTCAGTTAACTTAGGCTTCTAAATAATGTCAAATTTGAATAGAGGGATCTTTTACCAATGATTGGATTTCAATTATTACTAAAATTTGATAAGTTATTTTAACATGATATGAAATAATATTATGTGGCTTATGCTTCAGAAACTATCATATTTAAAAAATAACATAACATCATATCCACATTATCAAACAACCTAGGAATTGAACTTAATCTCTAACCCTTATAGTAGCTTGATTAGTCTGGTACTATGAGTACTATGACATATAATATAATTTATTTTCTTATGTAATACTATAATAGGATTGGGAATTTTATATAAACTAAATAAAATTAATATTATACTTATATTATACTTATAATAATTTTTATATTAATTATTTTATACTAATTATAATTATTATATTAATCTTATAATTTCAATCCTTTTGGATGACTTGAAAAATATTAAAAAATAAATATTATTATAAAATCTAAAGAAATTTTTGTAAATTAATGTGTTAGATTAATTAAAATAAATATATATATATAATAAACATAAATATATATAATTGTAAAAATTAATTATATTTAAACATATAATATATAAAATAAAATTACATAATTAGCTTATTATATATAATTATATTAGATATAAATTAGTTAAAAAATTAATTTCAGTTTAGCAGTTCAGTTATTATTCTTAAACTTTTTATATATAAATAATATATAAAAAGTATTTATTTATTCATTTCATATTTTATTAATAATAATTTTTTATAATTATAATATAAAATGTAATTTTATCAAATATATTTCAATATAATATTAATTTAATATATTACTAAAAATAAATGTAATAAGTTAATATATTAATTATATTCTATAAAAAATATATTATTTATAAATTATATACTAAAGATAGTTTCCATAATTGTTTTTAAAAATTTTAACTAGTTGCAACTATTTATGAATTTTTATATTAAAATAAATGTACAAGGAGTTGCAATCAAGTTACAACTTAAGTTGCAACCTATTGAGTTACAACTTCTTAATTACTGTGCCATCTTTATTATATACAAAAAAAAATAATACTTTAATTTATTTTATTTTAAAATCTAATATTTAATAGTAAATTAAATATAAATTTATTATCTCTTAGACTGTAGAGCAGGCAAATTTACCTGTGAAGTTAAAAAAAAAGTGTTAATTTCTTAATAAAAGATTAAATATTAATTTTATTAATATCATTATTATATAAAAATTATAGTTTAATATATATTTTATTAACTTTATTAATAAAGATTTTAAGTTTTTTAAAAGAATTTTAAAATAATCTAATTTAAAATTAAGTTTCAAACAATTTTATATAATCATTTTTTAAAAATTTTTTAAAATTTATATGCTTACGTATTAAGTGAATCACTTTATTATTAATTAAAATCATAAAATTTCTTAATAAATTATAAAAATTATAATAAAAGTTTTACTTTAGATTCTGATCTTCATTTTTTGATTACATATTAAAAAATTTAATATTTCTTATTAGCTAAAAAATTGTATTTTTAAAAAATTAAAAAATCATGATTTTTAAAAAATTTTATGATATATTTTTGATATATAAAAAAAGTGCAACATAAATTTTATTAAAAATAAAATTGAAAATTGAAATTAAACTACTATTTTAATCATTATTTTCTTTTTAAGTATGATAATCCTTAAAACAATTACTTCTATTCTTATTATAACATAAAGTTATATTACATTTTATGTAATAATTTGTGATTAAAAAAATCTTTTATAGATCTTTTTTGAACTTTTTTTGTTAAATACTTACACTATACACAGCTAGCTTTTGCTTCTTTTTACTCAAGTAAAAGATTATCTATCTAGTAATAATTTTATTAAAGAAGATTTAAAATTTTCGTTACATATTGCTTTTTAGAAGAATCAATTTTAATAAATTTAAATTAATATATTAATTCATTAACTTGATTTTGGGTAAGTGATATATATGATTTATCTTATTCTAATTCTACTTTAATTAAATCCCATATTAATTGTATTCTAAAATTCTTATAATTAAATTTATACTAATACTAAATATAATTATAGTATCTAACAACTAAAAAAATAATGACATTCAAGTTCTTTATACTGATAATTGTGTAATATAATATCTTTATAACTGATCTGCAATATCTACTTTACCTATAAAATGATTGTAATCATCAATTATAATAGAAAGTGTCAAAAAGATTTTACTTTTATTTCCAAAAATAACTTTAACTTTAATTGTATTATTATTTGTTTCTTATGATCAATATCGTATTCTTTTAATTCAATTATCATTTTTATTAATTTCATAAATAATTGAAAGTGTGATCATTAGTCTATTATCTATTCATAAAATAGCTAATACATCCAATATATCATTAATAATTATTTCAGAAAGTATATTCTATCTAATTTTTTATCTATTTTAAAACTTTGAAAAAAATTAGCACTATTTTTATAAATAGTTTCATAAGTTCCAATTTTGTTATCATGTGAGTATTTAAAAAGATTAATACTTGAAAAATTATTCATGAAATATTAAATGATTTATATTTTAGTAATTGAAAAATAAGATGATATACTTCATTTTATATTTTACTTAAACTTGGTATTTAGGTTAGTTTTGAATTTTAGATGTAAAACTAAAAGTATATGAGAGGTGGTTAGTAGAAAAGAGGGAAATCCAAAATTTTTGTTAATTTTAATTATTAAGCTAATTTTGTGCACATGACTGAGATCAGCCAAATGGTCTAATAATATAAATTATAACCAAAATTTGAATTTCACCTTTTCTACTGATCGCCTCCTATATGTATAACTAAAAACATAAAGAAAAAGAATTTTATAATCCTTTGAAGTAGGT